TGAGCTTCTGTAACAATATATTGCTATTAAGCAAGCAATTCATTAACACTAGCAAATATTGTATTGTTTAAATCCAATACACTGAGAATTAAGAATGAAACACCACAGCTTCAGCAGCCATTTTGCTTTCTTGTTCATTGCCAGGTGTTTCCTCCTGAGAAATAATCTTACCTAGGAGGTCTCTTGAAGGCTGCTTGCATAGTCTGCCATTCCTCCCCGAAACACTACAGGGATTTAGGCTGTCTGGCCTTTTACTCAGAAAAGAAAGTGAGGTTGCCAGAGGGTAACACATCTAATCCTGAGGGAGATCAAGTGAGGTGAGAAGAAAGGAGGGGATTCATATTGCTAATGCCCTGACAGCTCTGTCAATATAAATTTAGTATGTGTAGAACTATTTTAGTTTTCAAACAGCAGACTAATATCTAAGTTACACTCATTAATTTAAGTGTGTACTGAGTTAACCACAGTAAAAGCAGATGAATCCGGTGCAGATTTTTGAGTGAAGTGCAGAACTTTTGGAAGTCCAAAATGCTTTCTGCAGACAGTCTTTTAGATCTTGGTAGCAGGAATTGAGTTCTAGTTTTTAATGGCAGTCAGTGGCAGTTGATCAAATCAGTTCTCAGGTGTGACCAGTTGTGTTTTGGTTGAACACAAAGATGGAACTGGGACAAGTTCCTTTATGCTACACTCAGAATCTTTCTGTAGGCTGAAAAGAACACCATCTATGGGACTAAGACTTTACTGGTAGTTCAGTAAATGTTTTAACAGTATAATTGTCCAGATTATCTGATTGTTACAGTAAAAACCCCACCCTCATTAGTAGTGCAGTTTAAATTGTTATGCAGAAAACATTCCGTCACCTATTTTTTTTTCTCTTAATATTATCTCCCCCTTCCCAACATGCCTCTAGGTTCTAAGGCTGACTGTTCAAGTCTTCATCAGGCAGATGGGGGCATATACACTATGACAGGGCATTGGCCTGAGGTCTTTGCCACACAGTCTGGTGTTCATGGGAGGGGTGAGGGTCTCCCTCCTCAATGTTAAGGTTCCTAGATGACTTCTGACAACTGCACAACAGCCTCTCCCGGATGCAGTTGATGTTAGTTAAGGGTTCTTTTGGTCATGCAGAGACTGCCTGAGGCTGTCAGATCCTTTCCCCCAGTGGCACTCACAGACAGCAAGCTCACGTGAGTTTAGCAGGTGGTCACTCAGGCAGTAAGCAATGGCAATGACAAAATATCACATGCACCAGGCTAAAATTCCCCTTTTTGATAGATAGTCTGCTAAGCACAGGCTAATAGTTTAATGAGTCCGGCAGAGATGTTGCAAATTGTCCTATGACTTCAAGCTTCTTAACAGGACTGACTGATGGCTCTTGAAAACGATCATTTTTTTGCTGTGGGGTCTTGTGTGATGATAACACTTACGGGTCTGAGAGTATAATGATGTGTAACCATTGTACAATCACCGAAGCTAGTATAAATATAAGCTAGTATAATAGCTAAAATTACAACTGTAGGATATAAAGCTAAGTTCAGGTTTCTGCACGTCGCAGACCCTAGTCTTACTTTTAAGGTAATTATGTAATTTGTATCTTTACATTGCATGTGTGCCTATCCCTGAGCATTTTACACACAGTGATTTCTGAATGTATATGAACATAACTGAATCCTATGTAGATAATGACACAGTGACTGAAGCAATCTCATAATCACATCTCAAATTCTGATCTAAGCAACTGTCAAACCTTTGTAAACTAATATCCTTATATACATAATGCATGCCTAGAGGGGTTTTTTCAGGAATCTATCTAAAAAGACTGTGAAGAACATCTGTCATGTTCAATAATCCATCTTCATAAATGCACATCTCTCATTTCAGAAATGCTGTAGCTGTGGATCTCTAAAGTTACCTGATTAACTCTAGTTGAATATTCATGCAAAGTTACATAATACAGACTTAAGTATAGGGACCCCCGATTTCCACCATTTTTTACATGTCTTAAAATATCACCAGTACAATAAATGAAGGTGCAGTCTTCACAATCCCAATGATGCAAAGCTACACTTACAGGTATGCAATCTATTGCCATAGCTGATTGTATTGTATGCAATACAGTTTTCCATAGGAAATATTTTTATACCTCAGCAATTCACCTTTTCTTCTTAGAGCACTTAAATTTTATATTTTATAAATATAGAAAGCTTCATCCAAGACAAACATATACACACATATTTTTGTTAGGAACATAGATATTCATGGATTAGTAAGAAGTACATCTGTGTTCACACAAAGAAATAGGTTTTCTCTTGCCTGGAGATGAATCCCTTATGTTGAATCCTTTGTCTCTTATTACCTAAGTTTATATTTTGCTTTCGTTTATAAACTCAGCCATGGCAACCAAGTAAAAAGAAAAGTACTATGGCTTTAACTTTTCCTGTATGCATGTATCATAATAAAAATACGCAGTAAAGAAAACTCAGCAATATGCAGCTCACAGTGTTCATACATTTGGAAGGGATTTCTTATACTATGCTATCTGTGGAAGATCAAATAAGAAAATATTATTATTAATAGTTATCCTAGTTATCCAGGCTAAAGCACCTCCCTCAGTATGAGTTTCCTAGGATATCCAGGTTAATTAGCTGAATTTCTGTTTCCTGAATGCTTTATAAAGAAGTACATAGTAATGAAACAACTACTTCATTACTACACAGTAAGAAAATTTGCTTCATATTATTAGATTGCTTTAGTAATCCTCCACCTATTTTTGTTTTGCTTTGGTTCTGTCTCTTCTTTGTAACAAACAGCTTGTCACCATTTGACTCGGGTTCGACAACA